GATCTATCGTCTCTAGATTTCTCCTTATGGCGTTTATGAAGGCTCTTATCTTTCGCGATAAACAACAGACACTGAACCAATTAAAGGCCAACATTTCTAGGGAAATTGCAAACATCACTGTCCAGACATTGCGGAGTGCTGTAGCCAACATGGAGCAGCGAGTTCGGTTATGCCTAAGCCAGAAAAGTGATCATTTCAAAGGCTACTGTAGGATAAGTGATTATAAATCTTTATAACCTTCACAAACTCTTACTAGTCACGTTTGGTATGCCACATGGAATTCAGAGGTTTTAATAACGGACCATTAAATTGTCTTCCTCCACTGAATCTTTTGCTGCAAACCGCATTTATATCGTCTACTTTTTCACAAAACTACAGCCCAATGGAGTAGGTCAGTTCTAAAAGAATCACCCTGTACTTCGTCTGATTTTTTTTCCGTTGTTTTCTTGCAACCTTACTATTTACTATTTCTTTTGTTAAATAATCACCGTTTGCAGAAAAATTAAATTGCAAGTGGTTTAATTTTTCGAAATGTTTACTAAACTCACTGGAATTTTTTCACAAGCATTCTGGAATCTTATTTAGAGCTAAGCAGCTTTTTTATGCGTTTGATGTTGGCTATTTACTTATTAAGAAATGTATACTTGATACTGAAATTGTGAGATGACAGATTTAAAATAAATCATTTCCAAGATTTCTTGAAAATTAAAGAAATAAAAGGTAACGTGAACCTTTGTTTTTTTTTTAACATGTTAATGGAGAAATGTGATGCGAGGTTGTTTGGCATATGAAAGTTAATTTACGAGTATAATGGTTCACATTTGTTTTTGGACACTTGTCTTTTGGAATTTATTGTCAGAGTTGTACTAAATATTAAAATAGAGACTTCATTTTAGCCTAATATATTATTTTCCCTTCCATTTTACACCTTGCTTGTTGTGAAATATGTATCATCAAAATATTCCTTGCAATAAAATAATTTGTTAAAAGAGTATTAACTGGTAATTTCCATAATAATTTGGGTACTCCAAACCATTGTTGAAATATTTTGGTTTCTTGCTATTTTTATTTTAGATGAAAATGCACAGATCTTGCGTGCAGACGTAGATGAAATCACGTAGGTCTCACGTAGATGAACATACACAGATCTCACTGCTCCACAGATACTCACGTATATGCTTAAGTATTCGACTCTCAATATTTGCATAATGCTTCGGCTGCATTCTTCAGCACCTTTGGCTCAATGCTTTTCTAAAAATTAGACATATTTTCCAAATTCCGTTAATTTTGTACACGAGTGTATTTCTATGTGATAGATACAGGGTGATCAGCGAATAAGCCCTGATTTCAAAATTAAATATCTCTACAACAAAGATCGATAGAATTATGCGGTAAACTGTACGTTTATTAGCAAAACTGTAAAAATGGTGTACAAAAGTTTATAAAATTTAGTTATGAAAATCGTTAACAGATGGCGCTCTAATCGCAATGACCTATCAATAGCCTTTAAAAATGTGCTTCGAAGTAGAAAGTGATCAGTACAATGTTGCTAGTGAAAAGAGGCTAGCGTAGAAGTAAGAAAGTAAAATAATTATTCCATGAACAACGGTATTTGGTTCTGGAATTTCACCGATTAGAACACAGTCCTACGGCAACACGTCGCAGTTTTCAAAACCGATTCAATGTTCCAGTTGGACCCGATGCGAAACCCATTCGCATGCTCTTCGCGAAATTCGAATGGACTGGCAGCGTGGCTGATGATCGAAAGGGAAATGTTGGGCCTAAGCAAACAATAGTCACCCCTGAGAACGCAGCCAAAGTTTCTGGATTTGTTCAGCAAAATCCTAGAAAAAGCATCCGACGGATTGCCTCAGAGACAGGTTTGAGGTACACGAAGCACACAAACAATATTTAAAAATAGCCTACGGCTCTTTCCATACAAAATTCAAAGTCATCAGGCCACATCCATGAAAGCTGTGCAACAAAGACTTTGCGAATCAGATTCTAACAATGATCGACAACGACAGATTTGATCTGAACTGCATCTGGTTCACAGATGAGGCATATTTTTCATTTGAATGGAATCGTTAATAAACAAAACTGGAGATTTTGGGGTACCGAAAATCCTCATTTGTGTGAAGAGAATACACTGGATTTGCCTTAAGTTACTGCATGGGCTTCGGCTATGCGCCAGAGGCATTACTGGATCCTTTTTCGTACGAGAAACGATAACTAGTGAACGTTACGTTACTATTTTGGAACAAGTTTGTCAGCACTCAACTAGCGTTGGAGGATCGACCAGATATCGATTAGTTTATGCAAGATGAGGCTCGACCACATCGAACAGACAAAGTTTTTCGTTTTCTTCATGAATACTTTGGGAATAGAGTAATTGCTTAGATTATCCTCAATTTACTGACATCAGGAATTAGCTTGGCCTCCATATTCTCCCGATCTGAGTCCTTGTGACTTCTTTCTGTGGGGCGCATTGAAAGACGCTGTCTATCGAAACAATCTTTAGAAACAATACTTCTAGATGAGCTTGAATCGTTGATTGGTGTTGAATGTGATTCCATTTCCGTCGATACATTGCAAGAGGTGATGTTCAAATTGTATTCGTTTACGCCACCTCATTATTTCGAACGGTGAACATTTTGAAAAAATTGTATTTAATTGCAAAGGCTGATTCACTTTATTTTTTTAACTAATTTTTATTTTTACTCCTTTCAAAGAAAGAGTTTTCAGTGCAGAGCGCCATCTGTTAACGATTTTCATAACTAAATTTTATAAACTTTTGTACACCATTTTTACAGTTTTGCTAATAAATGTACAGTTTACCGCATAATTCTATAGATTTTTGTTGTAGAGATATTTAATTTTGAAATCAGGGCTTATTCGCTGATCACCCTGCATATACTATACAGATATGAGCACGCTCGGCGTATTATCCAAACTTTGTGATTATTGCAGTGTAAATTTTCGTATGTATCTTAGGTCTTTCCCTTCCCTTGCTTGGGTGTATCTTCCCATCGCTTTCTATAATGGTGCAACATAAATTTTTTGAATCTCAAAATATTTTAAAATTTGTTACGGATAGTAAAATCAGAAATCATGAAGTTGGCGACTTTTTAGAGGTTTTAAGCCAAGAGTTCTAAGTTGTGACGTCAATGTTTCAAGAGTTAAACCCATAAACTTGCGTGTTTTATAAATAGCAAACTGCTTACTCTCTAGAAAGTCTGTTGCTTAGTCTAGAAACCACTTGCTTTGTTAATTGCCTGATACAGTTTTCAGAACCCATAACGATGAAAAGTTGCCATTAGACGATTTCCGTCGTTCCGGTTGCATACACTGAATACCTCAGGCTCTAAAGTGTTTGCTATAATTGTGTGTTATTCTTAAACAGTAAAGTAATTAACAATAACTGTCATAATAAGTTTGCATACTAAAGCTCATATTCGAAATTTTAAACAATTGCTTTACTTTCTTACACTCTAAATTTAAAATAATGATTTCAAATTAACAATTAATAAATTCAAATACCAATAATTTCTAGTTCTATAATTCAATAATTTCTAATATAATTATTAAATTTTTTGTGAGAATGGGAAAGGGGAGGAGATAGGTGAATGAATGTTATTCAACACTCTATCTGTTTGGGGTACCGAGATTTTTAAAACAAATTTGGATGTTGTGAAATGATTTAATTTATTTGTTTAATTACCTTTTACTTTAATTACAAACTTTAAAACTGTACATGATCATTAATACATTTTAGGGGTTAAATACTTTTTCCCCCATAAAAAACTAGATATACGAAAGTAAGTAATTTCAAATCATTTTAGAATTCAGTAACTTCCCACCATTTTTTTACATTGTCCGAAAAAACATTTTAGAATAAATTTAAATAGCTACTCTCTTTGTACAAATATAGATAGAAGAGGGCGGGACACCTGAATTTCACTATTGGCCGTATAGTCTTACCGTTCAACCCGAATTTTGAGAGAAAGAACATCCCGGGGGCCGATTCGAGGACTCAAGAGGATTTTCAGATCTCCGCGTAATTTTAGTGCGCCCTTGCCTCACAGACACTATACGCTTACAAACATCCATGCCGTTTCCAGTCTTCGAGCTCGGACCCATCGCCAGGGCAGTCAGCGTCACAAGCCACTACACCCGCTGAACGACAGTTATCTTTGTACAAAAGAATAATTTTTATAAATCCGTATTTCTAAATCAATAAATGAAAATAACTTTAATTCACATAAAAGAAGAAAATTGGTAAAATTTCCTTTGATTCTGCAGCTGAAATTCTTTAATTCCTGAGAGTTTGAGGAATTTATCTCTTTTGTTTAATCTATAAATAAGCAATCAATATATTAAACAAATGTTTATGTATTAAAATATTTGCTTACGTACTAAAACTTTCATTTTAATGCAGCAGTTTGAGTCACTAAAACTTATTTTAATTCATAATATTTATTTTAATTGATAAGCATTCGTTTATTTTAAAATACAAATATTCAATTTTATTAATGCTATTAAAAATAATTAATTTGTGTCTCCCATATAAGAAAATCGTAACTTATCAAACCTGTGTTTTTATTTAAAGCACTGGTGATTAGATTTGATTCTTATTTTGTTGACCTTTTTGATTGTTATTTTGACCAGATTTAACGGGAGTTAACGAACTCGACATTTAGCTGCAACACACATTCTATTGTTTCAGCACTTCAGCAAAATACACCAGATTTTCTTTTCAGGTTTTTTAACAGGCATTCATTACATCACTCTCTTAATTTAGATTTAGCTACCGTTGTTTTCTAAGCTTTTGACTCTTAAAAACCAACTTTCCCACGCGGACAAAAAATAGGCGACGATAATGGATCAGTTAAAAATAGCGGCGCAACTAGACACTGTAGGGTGGAAAATGACGCCCTCTAGCGGTCGCCGGTGATGTTTCAAGAGCAAGCATTTCGCGCCTGAAGGACGTTGAAGGTCGGATGGAATGCTCAGTTTGACGGGAGAGGGAAAGAGAAGCTCTTTCTTTTCGCGCTTATGCGGTGGTTTGACAACAGCGGTGTTTACAGATGTTGAAAGGCAAACGAGGTGTAAGCGCGTGCAGTTTAAGTAGCTGCCGGATACGGGCAGAAGCGCTGGCCAGAGCTTTCAACAGCCGGATATGGCCGTGCACGTGGGTCGATCGCGGAGCGCCGGATGATAAGGATAGCCTTTCGAACGGTGTGAGTGCGGACGATGACGAAGAATTCTTCGACGCGTCTCCCTCTCCGATAGAGAACGAAGAAGAATCTCTCTATTCCCGTTACGGTGAGAGCTCAGCCGCGACTGAGGCAGGTAGAACAAAATTATTTGAACTCTTACAGCAGCATGCTTCTGATGACGCAACTGATGTTTTTTATGACGTCAGCGAAGATGCCGGTCTGTCAGAGAATGTCAACCATATCGCTGATGAAACGTGCCTTAAAGATGAAAACGTCGGTGAGCAATCTAAAAATGAAAATTTCCTAGAATCTACTAAAACAGATGACGAGAAAATTAATTCAAGTAATACCTCTCTATCGACTGAGACCGTAGAAAGCGAAATAATCACAAACTTGCCATATGTTAATCATTCTGATAGCAATCAAATAATCACTAATTCCGCAGCTATTATTAATAACCACTCTGACGTCTCAGTAACAACCGCTTGTTCTGTAAATGATAGTAGCTTTAATTTTGAAGAAGATAAAAATATTAGCAATGCAGTCCCTGCTTCAGAGGTTGGTAATTGTTACGTTAAAGAGTTATCTAATTTTGATATTGAAAATCCTAACGTTCAAGATAAAGAATTTCTGGTAACTCAACCAAAATGCCAAGAACTAAGTAGTGGTACAGATATAAATTTAGATTATAATAATATAGAATCATCTAGAACCGAAGAGAGACAACATGAAGATTCCCCAGATGACGAAACTATTGAGATTAATTTAAATGAAAAATTTATATCGCTACGTAAAATAGATTCAGAAATTAAAGTAACGAAACATGATGCAGAAACGGAATCTAGTGAATATTCCGAAACAGTAGAAAATAGTGAAACAGATGAAGTGGCTATCAAAGTTATCGATGAATTAAACGATTTGCCTTCTGAAAGGGAATATGAATTACCGACAATATCTCCAACCGCAGACCGTAGCAACAGGTTGCAGGTATTTGATGAATGTAGACCTAAGATTTCTCGTAGCACATCTCTCAAAACGGGAAAGACCCCACCTGGCACTCCGAGCAGGAAAAAAATTGTTCGATTCGCTGATGTACTAGGACTAGACTTGGAAGATGTTCGTCATATAATGACAACTGACGTACCCATTATTCCATCTTCTGCGTACACCGATTTAGACCTAAACGATGACGACTTACTATCTATAACTCCAGTCTCTGAAACCGTCGAAATCAAAAGCAGACAACCTGACTCGTGGGAAACTGTGCAGGTTTCTGCAAGTCCAAATATTCTATGTGCCATGTTCCCAAATCCTGGACAGCAGTCGGACTTCATGGACAGAGTTAGGAATCAAGGTATTTGTCTGGAGTCTGTGATCATCTCGGACATGAGTGTGCAGTGCACGTGCCGGGTGATGAACTGGGGTTACAAAAAGAGAGTGGTTGCCAGGTATACTGTCAATGAATGGGCGTCTTCGAATGACATAGATGCCTCTTACGTGCCTGGTTCGTCACAAGGAGAAACTGACAGCTTCGTTTTTAATATCTTTTTGTCTCCCCTCATAAAGAAGGTGCAATTTGCCATCCGTTATGTGGTCAACAACAAAGAATTTTGGGACAACAACAAAGGAATGAATTATAGCCTCGGTCATCACGGTAATAATAGCATAATACCTGCTTCTAGTCCTCCATGGTTGCACCAGTTTTGGTAAATACAAGTAATCTGTTATTATGTTGATATTTTATATATATGTATACATATTGGTAGTACGTCATTGTCAGTACAAATTATTAATTTATTATTGGGACTTTTCAGACTGGTGCTTGCTTTGCGCAAAATATTTTCATGCAATTACTGCAGAAAGGTAATCATAATAGCTATATTATTTTACTGAACTAATATGAAGTAATTCAAGTAAATGCTTAACGCTTTGAATTTGGATAACTGTCGTTAGTTAAAGTTTATGTTTAGCATACGCATAGATTAGTTTACAGCATTATTTTTTGTGTGTTCTTTGTGAAACGTATCGCATTTATTTAATCAAAGTAAAACAGATTTTGCTTTGATTATCAAATGATAATGTTATGCCAAATTTTCATAAATAGAATTGTATGTAGGTGTATATATTTTGATTTGCTATATATCATTTAGTAGTTTTATTAAGCTCATATATTTATGAGATGTAAATGTCATGTTAGTAATAATTTTGTATTTATTTTAGTAGTGCAATAGAAAAAGCATAATTAGAGATCCTACAGACTTTTTCCCTTTACTTTGTAAATTTTTAAGAGTTTTGTCACTTTTGAGAAGTCCATTTGTTACAATATATTGCTGCATAACTTTGTTAAAACTCTATTACGAAGTAGCTAAGCATTTTGCAGTGAGGATCAGTTTTGTATTTAAAGGTATGCAATTATTTTGCAACGATTTAAGCGGATTTAAGTGGAAATTCAGGTATAAAAGAAGAAGCCAAATCTAATAAATGCTTATTTTACTGAAAATTCACAGAAAATATCTAGATAAAATGGGAGTTTTAAGTTATATAATCAGTAGTTTTTATTTGGTAATTATAAGATCTTTTAAATAAATTTAATTTCTATTCTTAAGAATGCCATGAAATGTATAAATCGAGGCAAATTTTATTTATATAATTAATGTTCCTTTACAAATATTAACTGCTAGGCTACTTTGCTAGGTGCTAGGCATTGTTTTGCTATTAATTAATGTTTCATTGTAACCGTACGCAGCTGATTACGGGCAGAGGGCTTATACAAAGTAAAAGCACGATAGATTACTAACCTGTTTGCAGATTACAATGCTTTATTGTAATCTCTCTCTTGTTTGTATATTGTGAAAAGATGCTATTCGCACTATCACTAACCTGTCAAAAAATGACGCGGGTAATGATGTTAGAAGCCTATAATCTCCAAAGATGAGTCCTAAATATGTTTAATTTATGACAATTTTTATTCCTTGCTGTACATTTGTTAAAGCGATATAGAATAGTGTATTATGGTTAAAAGCACAAGAATGTATCACAATTCAGAAATTCATTTTTCTCTACTTATAATTAGTTTATATGAAAAGCATGAGTTCTGCAGCTCGGACTAGGATAAGTATTAAGTTATTATAAAACGGAATCACGAATCTGCTGGTTTAAACTGAATTTACATAAAATTTTATGTAAATTGATTTTCAATTGAATTTACATAAAATAAGAAGACTGATTTTCAGCATTTTTGACTGCTGCAACTGTCAACGCATATTAGCCTTCAATAACTGTTCTGAATTGTGGTTATTTAAAATTTGTATTTTAATAATAATAATGCATATCTCATAAGGGATAATAAAAGCATGCTTTTATTAAGTATTTAAATACTAAATATTAATAATATTGCCGAAATAATAATAATCCATCGTCACTTTAATAATGTTGTTCTGATTAAATTTTAACAAATAGAAGTATATAACGATGAAATTATTTTTACGTATTTAATTAGATTTTAAATTTTAAAGTTTTTACACTCTTCTTCAGCTTGAAAGAAATAATAATAAAAAAAATCAAGTAAAAAAAAAATAAAAAAAATTTTTGAATTATTTCCTATTTATTATTATTATCTAGCACTTATTTTGGAAATAATTCATTTTTTAGATGAATTAAATATCTACACACAGTAAGTAAACAATATATATATGTATTATTAATATGATAATTTATAAAGAAACCAATTTTTTCAATCAATATTATTGTTAATATTTTATGTTCGTCCTCCAACATTTCAGAAAGAAGAAATTACTTTAAAATAGAGAGAAAATAACAGAATACATGTCAGGATTATGCATTACGTAATTAATTGTATTTGCGTTCAGAAAGCATATTAGTAAGTTTTAATTTCTTCATTTTAAAAATGAATTTGAAGATTTTTAGTTGAAATTCTGATTAATTTTACTGGTATTGTTTAGTGCAGAAGAAAAAGTATTGCTACTCCAAAATTCAATCTAAAATGTAATTAGATTCAATATTCTTTTGATTCGCATGTCGTCTAATACACTTAATATAACTTAAGTATAAGTTATGTATTTCAAATTATCATTTTTTAGTCTCATTCGTTTTCATAATGTTCCGCTTTTGCTGAACAAATGTAACATCAGGTCTGCTACAAGATAATTATAGCAAGAAAACCATTATTATTGTATTGCGTTTTAATGTTAATTTCAAAAAGTAACTTTGGTACTCTGTTACATTATTTATAAAATCCCCTATCTTTCCCAAACATGCATATTTTTCATAGAGCACACATAATACGACACTCGTATTCCTTCTCGAGTGATTTACTTCAGATTACGTGAGTGTACTTTCTAATTTTTCAGATCCCAAAGATAAATCAGCATTCGTTGAATTTTCAGTTGCAGTGGATTTGATGCATGAACTATATTACAAAACTTCCGTATCACTTGCATCTCATACAGAAAAAAACAGTATTCTCTATAACAAAGGAACTTAGCAATATTCTAGTAGTGTGAGGTCATGTAAGAAAAAGAAAAAAAGAAAAAAACTGTAATTGGGTCGTGTAAAAATTGTAGGGCTTTTCATACTTAAATTACAGCATATTGCACTTTACGATTGCTTGCATTCTCACATGAGCTTAGCTTTCAAAATAATAATTTATTGCAAATTTTGCATTAAAACTTAAACCTATGTATTAAAAACAGCTGAATTTAAGGTTTTTCATTTGTCTTCTTCCTTTGCATTATATAATTTTGCACTTTTAAATTTCAATTTTTTAAAAAAAATTTATTAAACCTAACTTTCATTTTTAGACTGTAAAATACTAAAACCGTCCATCTCTGCATTTCAAAAGCGCAAATACTCAAAAGTTTACATTTTACAGAAACATTTAAAACGTCCTTGAATTGTTTCCTGGTTCTTCCTCATGCGCAACAAAACAAACATTTTACCTTGTCAGACAGCTTTTGCGTACCAAGTTTCTGGCAACAATACTGACAGTTATTGATCAAGAAGCACGTGCTTGAATTTACCTTGGTAATTTCATGTTTTAAGTTTATGCTCTTAAAAGCTTAAAAAGCAAGTAAGATTTTTATTAATTCTTTTAACGAATAAAATGAAGTTTTAGTAAGAGACAATGTGCAATTTTCTGAATTAACTTCATTTTGTATCTCTTTTCTCGAATTAACTTCATTTTGTATCTCTTTTCTTGAATTAACTTCATTGTGTCCCCTATTCTTCAATTGAATTTACGTCATCAAATAACAATGTTGTCATAATCCAGAGTCCCGTTACCAGGAATCTGAATAATACAAATCTGAAACGGAAACTATACACAATTCTGTCACTTTACCACTTCTATCTAGAAAATGAAAATGCAATTCCCTTTTCAAAATAACCTTTTTTTTTTTTAACCAAGGCAGTTTAGATAATATTTGGGTTTACATGCTTGTTTGTTTTCTGTTTCGAAGTTATAGAGTGACTCAAAATTATCTAGCACAAATGTAAAGGCGGGTAGAGCGACCGAAATAAACAGATTTTGTGCTGAATATATGTGCAGAAATGGCGAGCTGAGGTGGCGAATGGCGCTGTTAAGCGCCATATAAGAAAAAAAAAAAAAAAAAAAAAAAACGTTAAAGCGTTCTGCTGACGTAATTCCTCATTTCCCAATCGGATTTCGAGCAGTATGCATCTTACATGTCTTGAGCTTGCGGCATGCATTTTATCTCATAGGCTAGGGTTAAAACAGTCTGCTTCTCAAAGGAGTTGCAGAGAACAAATTCTGAACACAGCCATTGACCAGCTGCTGAGATTCCATCGCAGTCCTATAGATAAATGCATGCCACCAGAACCGCATTCGTGTAGCGTTGCATACTCCTAGAAATCCGCACGGAGAATGAGGATTTACGCCAGTAGAAAGTTTTTATCTTTCGTTTAATTCGGCTCTTTACCATTACTCATAAAAGAGTGTACCCAGAACAAAAAATTAACATATTTTATATTCCCTTTGATATTCAAATTAAAAAAAAATATCAAACTTCTACTTGGCAATAATTGACAAGGATTAAAATCTATTAATATATTTATAATTAAACATGAGTATTTAATATGTAACTGTAACTCACATGTGAATACATACTTTTCCTTTTCCTTTAATCTTTTTCATTAAAACTCATGCAACTAATTAAAAGAAAAGATTGGGGAAATTTCTATACAACAATACACAGTGTGATTAAAATATATCTGATTGTATACAAGCTTTACCGGGTCATCTAAGTGATGACATAATCGCGCAATAAAGAAAAACAAGAGCACCTTTTTACAATATCCAGACAAGTATGCTGATATTGCGCTGTATTTACATCATTCACATGTTTACATTTATTCTATTTGCTAATCAATTAGAAGAAAATAATTTAAAATTAGGCTTTCTTTTCTAATTTAAATCTAAAAATTAACATTTAATCATTTGAAGCTTTTGAAAGGATAATATAATCTAACATGAAACTTATTTTAGTGTTAGAAAAATGAATTCGTCTAAAATGAATTGTTATTGATGACTTTACTGTTTGTTCACAGCCTGAAATTCCATCAATTTTGATTGCTTTTTAAAAATACAGTGATTACGCTCTTCTCTCTGAAACTTTACTAAAACTTCTTTCTCTGTTGTCGACTAAAAAGGAGTTCTTTCAGTTCCAATAATTTCTTCTTGTAATACGATTCGAAGATTAGCAGCTTACTAATATGTTCTTTTGAGTTTTTATTCACCGAGTCTCAACATTTTAGTTTCGGATTAATCTTCACCTAAAACACTTTACTCTCATCCTAGAAAAAAGACATTTATTTTCACTGTACTAAAAAAGATTGAGACTAACTTTTGTATATTGAAATTATAAATATTAACTTGTTTGCTGTTAGTTCGATGTTTTGTCTATTACATACATCCGAAAAATGTTTGCCATTTCTAAGATACGTCATCATTTCACGCGGCATCAGATTTATAATTTATCTTTCATATTAAAAGAGTGCATTGGTCAACAAACTGAATGGTTTCAAAATAATATACACGCTTCTTAATAATTTGCAGCTTCATTTTTTGATAATATGGTTAATTGATATAACGTATAAGAAAAATATATCTTTCATAATTGATGTAATCATTGTAAATCTAATTGATAATTTTTATAAACACTTGCAGCATGAGTGTATTAAATGATGCTTTTAATGTCATACATTGAATAATAATGCGTTACACTGCCTAAGGAAATAAGTTTCCTCAATCTTGTTTTCAATCCTATATTATTATTTCGAATTTTTACACTTAAAGATAAGTATAAATTTATGAAATTCCAACATGGAATTTTATGAAATTCGAGGATTTATTGTATCTTAATTCGAGGAAGACAGTTAAAAATAATCTTCTGAAATCGCTTGCGGGTAATTTTACGGAATTTGTTTCAGATAATTAGAAACGTCCATTTTTAAATAAAAGGATGTATACTTTAGAACTATTTGAATAAATTAACATTTTTTAATACTTGTCCATTTTTAATCTTCTGTTTTATATCTAAACTTGCACTACTAAGACAGAGAGCTTTAAAAATTTTAAGAAATTGAATATTTTAGAATAAGTGCAGGGAAAAATATACGAAAAAATGAATGTGTAATTTCCTATAAAAAATATCACCACCAAAATTTTCAATATTTGGTTTTTTTATTTTGAGAATTTGGATTTAGAAAGCAGCAATTCAGTTTAAATGCGGTTTGAATATATTACTTATCACCTTAAAATTTAAACTATTTAGTTCACATATTTGATAAAAGGGTACTTTTCCGTTTTGCCGGCGCAAGCGATAAAGTCGCCAATAATGGTACAACCGATGCCAAACGGAATGGTTTCGCTGGACTTTAACCTCATTTTCAAAACAAGTCGCAGCTTTTTCTTATCAGATGATTGTTTCTTTCAATACTGGCACATATTACATAGAATTTTTTCAGATAGTCAGTTTTATGTCTAGCATTTTCGGTAATTAAGTCAATTAGGATGCAATCACAGCGTTTACCCGAAGCCGAAAATATAGAAAAGGTAATGTAAGGGTTAATTCATCAATTCTAATGAGAATGCATTAGCGAAGTAAAGCACTGCAGTTTTTACATAATTTCTGAGTAGTTATTCGTACGAAATTGAAATATTTCTTGCATTTAGACTTGTGTTCCAAATTAAGATTTAACAGAAATTAATGTAGATAATTACTGAGGAGCATTAGATTTTTGTAGAGTAGTTTAGGTGACATGAGATCGCTGGAGTCACGTGATATGAACCGGCGATCAGATGTTGAACCATGAAAGCATAGTAAATTCTTAAATTTATGTCTTTTTACAAATTTCTTGTCTTTTTATTTATGGCTTTTTATAAAATTTTAACGATATTAAAATGTTATGCTTTTTTTTAAAACGAATTCTTAGAACTAATATTTTTTAAAAATTTTTTATGTGTATACTGTATGTTGTCGCAATAAAGTCTGCTTGGCGAGATTTGCGCCGGCGAAATGGAAAAGTACCGAAGTTATGTTAAATTCATTAAACTATTCAAGCGTATTTTCGAGTTATGCACAGGTTAAATAATGTCATTTATTTCAGGTATGAAAATGTATTTGATGAATATTAATACAAATTAAAGAATATGAGAAAAATACTATCAATTTTTATCACTAAAAATAAATCTTAATTTACTTTCAGCTTCATTCTTTGGAAATATTCTGAGAGCAAGTAGTCAGTGTATCTTTTCAATTACATGCTTTAATATTTTAGCTAAAATGGCAAAATTGTTTAAAAGAAACAAATATTTTTATTTCATTCCTATTATTGTTTTCAGTCAAAGACATGATTCACCCATTAAGTGTTCATAACTTATTGGGAATGTATGTGTAATTATGCGATTAAACTACAGTTTTTTGGTATTTTTTGTTGATTATTCTTATAATTTTTTAAAATTGCTTGCATTAGAGAAAATTTAAAAAATAAATAAATATTATATTACATTTTTATATCATAGATACAGTTGTTTGTAAATGCATTGAAATTGTTATAAATAATAATAATAATTAGTAAAGTAAACGAATTTCTTAAACGACTCAAAAAAGTGTAAAATTTACGTTGATACCTTGAAATTCAAACTAACACCTCAAAGGCATCACGAATTCAATTCCTTAAAATGTGAAACATGCGATTTCATAAAAAGTATAAGTAATGGTCTTATAGTAAGAAATAATATTTATTCTTACATTCGTATGCCATGATTTTTGATGGTAGGATAACTATATTAATCAGATTCTGGTGTTTATATGCTATGTACTCTATCCAGTGATTTCGCTGTCATTTTCTAATAAAATGAAGTTTGTAAAGATAAGTTATTTCATGAACTTGAGTTGAGTACGAAGTGAAAGTATGAAACAGTATGAACCAAAGTTTGCTGAAATACATTGCATATGTTGGTTCTTAGCTGAGATAATGTAATGAAAGGCAGATAAAGACTCACTGCCTCGATGATATTATGAGATCGGTACTTCCTAGCTAGGGTCATGATGTCTGTGAATTTACTTCAGAGATGTCTGTGCAGGGACTTCCAATAACTAGTCCGATTTATAAATAACTTAAATATTTAATGAAAACTTAAATATTTAACTTAAATATTTAATGAAATAAAATGAATAATTAATAGTTATTACAAACTACGAAATGATTACATTCGTAGACGGAAATAGATGAGATTATTTACAGATTTAAAAGCTAACATCTTATGTACAGAACATCGCCTTCCATCCATCTTAATGGCGAAATCGTCTGTCTCCTCCTATCACAAACCCCCCCCCAAAAAAAGAGTTCTTTTACGCAGCTTGCCATGCCATCTCATTGTTGTGGACAATGCCATCCTACAGTAATTTGCTGAAATAGATTTAATGAAATGCCATTTTAATATCAAATCCTTATATTTCAATTCTAGTAGCAAAACTAAATCTTCTGTGTAAAAAAAAACATTTAATTCTAAAACGAAATCCATTATATAAACTGTTGTCACAAAACGATAATACAATAATATGCAAAGTTAACATTTATAATTATTAAAATAGAGTTACTTTTAAATTAAGTATTTACATTTTATGCTGTTACATTTACACATTTTATACCGTTACACATAATATAAATATTTCACCTTTCGTTTAAAATGAAAATAGTATGCTTACGGTTGCCATCTATAAAACTGGAATTCGCGGTTTAAATAAATTTACATTGAAGTACCTAGAATGTTACATATCCTATATTGTTACAATACTGTACTGCTGTCTTAAGGTTTGTCTGAAAGAAATTCTGTACCAAGACTCATATAATATGGAGTTGGACTTTATTATTAAATATATTACTATTATTCTAATAATATACATTTATATATAATAACTATTCGAGTGATATTAACTATTTGAGTTAACTATTTGAGTGATATTCAAGTTAATGAAATAACTAATCTTTGCAGTTTGCATTTTATTTTCAAATGTCTGTGAAATCATTGCATAGAGCCCATTATACATGAACACCAAAATATTATTAATAACGTTTTTCTGCCAGCAAAAATGTCAAACTAATATTAAGGTGCATATATTTTAAACGGCTTTTGTTGAACCGATAAGCAACGTAATGCAATAATTTGAAAAGGAAACAAAAGATCCAATGCCACGTGGATTGGCAAGTTTCCCATTTTGCGAAGACAATGTTTTCTTTGCAAAGTGAAAACAAAAGCGTCTTTTTCCACATGCAAATAGGAAAAATGTTTAAGAGCGTTTGAAAAATTAGATGAAAAGTAAACTCGGATATAAAAGCATCTAAATTTTTAAGTTATTCCTGTCAAACTAATTTTGATGTTTTCAAATAAATATTATATTCCTATGATGATTGATTCATTTCTTAAAAATTGAATATTGCTGATAATAGAAGCAAAAAACTCCGATTCTAAGAAAATCAATCTTTTTGTTTTACCTAGTTCCAAAATATTAATCTACTTAGTATCATAATTTTAGCAACATTTTATGATTTGCTTTATTAGTGTTATAATATTGAACCCAATGAAAACTGTGATGTGTGTCTAAACTTATGACAAAATTTATGATAATTATATTTTACCATAAATATATGATAATTATTAATCTTAAGCAGATTTATGTATGTCTTTTAATTTTACGTTGATATTTTAATAACATTTAACATATATGTACTAAAATTTATAACACTTTTGTGACTGGTTCGTTATTATTTTCAGTCTTAATAAGCTTGGCGTATCATGATTTAGTTAGTAATTTTTTACTTTATAATATTAGAAATTTTCTAATATTGAAAAATTTTGATATATTATTATGAAATTATTATACAACAAATTATGAATTTATTATAAAACAAAGAAGAAACCACGGAAAGTAATATTTATTGCTAATATATATGATCTCTAAATCGAAAGATATAGTTATCCAAAATGCATAATATATTGCGGCCAATATATTTTTAATTAATTTTTAAGATGTCTGAAAAAGTATTCTTACTTTTAACATGCCTTAGAAATAAACAAAAAAGAATTCATGTTTGAAAAAAAAAAAAAAAAAAAAAAACTGTCTCAATTAAGTATGTAAATTTTAGTTCGAAATAATTGTTATTAATCTGAAATCTGAAAGTTCGAGTTAACTGTAGTTTAATGTTTCTGTGCAATTTAAGGCACCGCTGAAATGTGAACACAAAAGCTTGTTCATATTTTTTAAAAACACAAACTCACATTCATTTGCTCGAAATATTAAACTTTTGAATTCTCTCATCTCTTTTATTGTGCCTTTTTCTTTGTTAGTTAAAAACTTATAAAGTAATATGTACTTATTTATAAATATATCAAAATGTTAGCTAATAATTAAAAAATAGTATCTGTTATTGATAACCAATCATCATCTGCTTTTCAGAAGGAAAGAAAAATATTTAAAGAAAACAAAAGTAGGTAAATAGTTTTCAATAAACATCGTTATAAATTCAGATATTTTGCGTGAAATAAAATTTCCTGTGCGTGCTGCTCGTTTCGGCAACTAAAAAAGACAAAAGTCTACGAACAATGTGTAATAGTATTAATGTTGTCATTGAAAAATAAGAAAGTAAGTCTGCATTTAGAAATGTTCACGTTTAAAACATATTTTCTTATATAAAAGATATGGAAGGCAGAAAACTCACTTTTATTACATATAATCATTTCAAACGCATTTTTATTGCATATCAGCTTTCTTATTGAGGGTAATTTTATTTAGATGACCTCAAGTCAGTATCACGCACATTTCTGTATTATTCTTATTTAAAATGCGCATGATTTCTTATTTATGCTAATGTATTTTTTAAAAATTATATTCTTTTAATCACAATAGAATTCCGGTTATCCACTTTAAGTAGAAACGCAGCTCGTTTGGATAATCAGAAAATGTGAAGAATTTGGCTTATTGTTATTCTGTAGGCCAAAGAATATTTATTAAACATAAAAAAAATATTAAAACATAAAGGAGGACCTTTTTTTCAACTATCCTGTAAAATTTTAGCAATACTTATGCAATTATAAAAGAATAATATTCTTATTTCTTGTAAACAAACTGTAAAACTCATTTATTTCAGTAATGAGCAATGGAAGTTTCCCCTTCCGCCGTAATTTTACTTGTTTGTATTTCAAGTAAAATGAAGAAAGGAAATTAATTTTTATTTAGATAGACTAAGTATAAACTTACTGTATTAAAATTAAAAAGAAAAAAATAACATGTTGTTTTCACTGTATTAATATTAAACAAAGAAATAACATTTTATTTACACAAAATGCGTAACCTATTTATACTAAAAATTAAACAAAACTGGCTACATTTGTGTAGTCTGATGTAAAGAAAATACTTTGTGAGCTAAGTAATGATATGGTGGTTTTAACCATAACCATAACGTATATAAAGGTAAAAGGTGGCGTTCGAAAAGCTGACTCTATGTGCGTATGCGCTTCGTCGTGAGATAATCCTCAACAAACAATCTAGAATACTAGGCAGATAGGCTGGGTTTTCTTGGGTGACTCTGTATATAAGCGTATTTATGACATCTAATTACTTTTCACTAATTTTATTTAGATTAACATTTAACACTAACACACATGTTAAGATTTAACGCTAAATGTTAACACGCTTCGTGTTCACCGAGTTATGAAAATGTGATAACATGTTACATTTGTATTATATAAATCAACAAAAAATAATAAACGAATGAATAAATGAAAAAAAATTAGTCTGAAAGGGTTGAAATTTTAAGGGTCGCCCAAAAAGGGTTTTGTTAAGGTTCTTTACACTCTCGCTGAGCTCGCTGTCTACCAGTCTGCTGTTGCACTTACTCTCACTAACCCATTTCTTTTTAGATTTTATTATTAAGCATCATTTTCTTCGCACTTATATGTAATTCAAAAATAAAATTGCAAACATTTTAAAAGCAGCATAGCAGCATATGTTTAGAATTCCCGATGCAATGTTGCATTTATTTTTGTATTTTTTTCAGTCTTTTCTTAGTTCATTATATCAATACTCAGTTTTTTTAGTAAGATGGTTAGCAAAACTCTTTTTTTTTTTTTTTTGTCTTTTTATTATTAAAGTTTTGTGCGTTAAATTTATTATTTAAATATCATGTTCTTAGCACTTACTCCGCATACAATTGAATTCAACAGCAAAATCACAAAAAATTTAAAACCAACATATCTATAGAACTACCGATAGACAGTCACGTGTACAGTCTGCTTTATTCCGTGTTTTACTCCTTTGTTTATTTATTATTTATTAAAAATGTTTTATTCTTTATTCCGTGCAGTGTTGCCTCCAGTTGCTTTCAAATCGTTGAGTTTGTTAATCAAAAATTCATTAAAATTTTACTAAACATGAAATTCGAAATTCAAAATTCGGGTTTCCAGGTGCACATGTTCGGGTTGAGGACTATGTTATTCAAAATTAGATGGCTCTAGATATCGTCGTTTTTTACAGTACGAGGAACATGCATTAAATACATACATACGTGCATGCTTTATTATTTACTTCCTGTAAAAGTAATACCGGGATATAATATCTGGTGGCAACAATTTGAAAAGGGATTCGCTCTTTATAGGGGGACGACACAAAATCCTGCTTCAAGACTAACAGCCCAATCGGGCTAACGACCTTATGGGCTAATAAAAACATGCGAATAAACTAATTAATCGCAATATTAAACTTATATGGTTTTCTAGATAAAACAAGAGATCTGATAACTGGAGTTCTATTAAGTATATTTCTAGAATTAAAAGAATTTATTATGAAATAAATAAATATTATTTATTTGCCAGGTTTATTTTCATACCGTTTACGTTCTTAGCTAGCTTACATTCGTCAATTATAAAACTATTTAAAAGTGTACAGAAGGGAAAGAAAAGGCTAATAAAATCTAAAAAATAATAATTTTTCTCGTAGTTTGGAATTATAGATAAAATGCTTGCACTGATAACTGAACTTCTGTTAAAATGAAATAATATTTGAACTAACAATAATTAACGATGAAAATTGTTCCTGAAATTTCAACTTAAAATATATCTGTTATTTTCTATGGCTTACGTTTTATAAAAATACTATTTATGCAATAAATAAATAAATAGGAATATTTGCTAGTATTTATGAATGTGTGGTGCTTAAATTTCTCATTAAAATGGTTACATTTAGATGTTCTTCCTCAGTAAAAATAGTTTAGTTAATTTTAGTTAAGCCAAATTAAAAATAAAGTTGAATAAAACGAACGTTCAAACGACAAATCTCGTTTTCTAAACTTATCTTTCTTTTTCAATTATTCGTATTTTTTATTCCTTTGGTTCTTGCCTCAGCACATATTAGACCTCTTCTATAAAGATCATATTTTTCAGTCTATGTTATTGCATACCTTTTATTACAATGTGCACTTTTTTGCACAAGCTAAGGATATAATGTTTCGAAGCATGGGTATGTCTTTTATGTTACCAGCAATAAAAACTTGAAACTCTAGTCTAAATCAAAAGTGAAATAAATTATATAGCAATGAAATTATTTTATTATTCGGAAAATGGTTCGACAGTTGTTAAAAGAGCAAAACTATCTGTGTACCTTTAAATTTTTTTAAACTTGGAAATGTGTGTGTTATTCTCAAACCAAGTATTTCAAATTTTATATTCTCACATTTACTCATGCTTATATTGAAATAATTTAAATAATAACAACAACATTTTAATAATGACAACATTTAATCTACTCATTTATTGCTATGGTCTGCTAAAAGCATATTTTGATATGCATGCTTCCATATTATGCATTAATTAAACAGAACATTTCTGACTTTTTTAAATACAAATAGCTTTTTTTTCTACTTCCGTTAATTTATACAAATTAGCAAATATTTTATATATATTTCATAATTTATATTAGCTACAACATTCATATAACTTTCCTTACATTTTAAATACAAACTTATATTCAACATCTGATTATTTTTGAAATCCAATAAAGTTATTATATTCAAAAATTTGTATAAAGAATGATTTTCATATAATTAACGTATTTCTAATAATTCTATTATTATTTTACGTAAGTTACCAGCAATAAAATGTTTTTTTCTCTATTCTAAGCAGAGAAAACTACATATAGAATTTGAATATATGGATATATGTATACCGTCCTAAACTGATAGTGTTCTATAATTCTGAAAACATTCATTTCCTGCTTTGTATCTTTTTATTTACAATTTTGTGTGTGAATATGATATGAACATATTAAGTGTATGATATTCGAATTCCACAAATTTCACAAAGGATTAGAGATTTGGAAACTCGGATCTTCTTATACTTGTTTGTGATTTGAAGCTTTCGAAATCTAACCTAAAATTTATTACAGGTTTTTAACTTTACTTTGAAAAGTTTGATTAGTTAACAATCAACAGAAGTATTCTTTATAAGAAAATGAATGATGTTGTCGCACTGTGTATATATCTAGAGGATCAGTATCGCCTCTTATTGACTCCAATATTACATTTTCTGAAGAAAAAGTTAGCATTCTATGTTTAGCATTTATTTATGTTAATTCTTGAAACAATATTCCCCTCCCTTCTATACAAATATTTGCTAAATTCACAAAATGAGTATAATTGTGCTAAATTCACAAAATGAGATCCAAGAGTTTTAATTAGATACTCCATTTACTAAACTTCTCTTGAATCTTCTTAACAAACAAAAGTGTATTTAAAAAATGTACCGTACATTTGTTTTTCATTAAAGGTAGAACTAAAAATTGGATTTCCTTCAAACATTCTTAATATTAAACAAGTTTTCCCCTTATTTTCTTCTTAATATTTGTCTTCTATAAAGGATTCTAAAGCCTTTTTTATTTTTTTGGAAGATTTGGGGATCTGTCCTATCTTTAGAAAATATGTATTGAGTATATTTAAAAGAGCAAAGCATTTATTTTGTATTTTCTTTAATAGTTTTAAATATCTGAATGCCCTCAAAGTAAAGATCAAAGCTGCCAATAAGGAATACTTAATTGCTTTTTACCGAAAACAAAGGTTAGTGGTTTTT